GGGGGGGGGGGCGGTGGTTGACTGCGACCACAAGTGCAACCTTGAGAGTCTGGAAGACGGCAGTGGCGTGAGTTCTGCCGGGCTGCCCGGCGGAAGTGCTGCTGTATCCGTGACGAAGCACAACTTTTCCTCGCCACGCTGAGCAGCAATTAAATTCTTAGAAATGTGCAAAATGTCAGCGGATTTCAGTCTCTGAACTATTCTTTAGTGTAGACGGTCGTGATACATGGCTCATTGTTGGCGGCCAATCAAGAAGGCTGCTTCGCTCCCCTGCGATCACTCGCTTGGCACGTGGAGGCTTCCTTCGGCGACGTCTTCCTTCGACGTCGGTGAAACTAGATGCGTCACGCCGAAATATCTAGGAGCCCACCGCCTGGTCTAGTCTGTGGGCCAGGTCCCCCGGGTGCCCCGGGTGCAGCGCGCCGTGACCCCGCCGCCGAATTGTAATTCCGAGCCGCTCTCACTCTCTCGCTCCCGAATCGTAGCGCCGACGACCCCCCGACCGACGAGGAGGGAGACATGGGGAAAAGACCGGGAACAATTTGAGCGGCCGTTTTCGAAAGCGGCGAGGATTCGGCGTCGGCACGGCGGCACGTGCAAGTCGGCGCGGTTCACTGTTTAGCTGAACACGTCGCGCCCAAACTGTTACCCTTACAAACCATGGCCCCAGTACCAGCAAGTATACCGGGAACCGCCGCGGAAATGCTCGAGTACTCTAGTCGCCCCATTCCCCTGATTTAGGGCATCGCCTTCCGAAGAGTATCTCCTGAGCGGTGTAAGCCTGACTGTACGTGTAGAGTACTCTGATAGGCGCGTAGAACAGCGCGGCGGCGGAAGACTTTCTGACGTAACAGTCTGGCCTGGCCTGGCTGGTCCGACAGGAGGTCCGCGGTGACTGGAATGCAATGAGACGCGCGGCGTTGCAAATTTTCATTGGTTGTAATTGCAGACTCAGAGACTCACGGGGCCTGCCTGGCTCGGCACACCGCCCGGCCCCACGCCTCACCCCCGCGTCCAGACAACGGCAACGCGAGGCGCTGACGGGACGGCAACGAGCGGCGGCGGCAGCTTCAACGCCGTGCAAAAGTCGCGAACAATCGCTGAGTCAGACAACGGCGGCTTAAAAAAGTAAGGCATATGCCGCTGTAAAAATAAAGAACAGGAGGAGGGGAGGCGAAGTGAAGCGGGTCGGAAGGAGTCGTAAGATGTGACGGACACGCGCGAGTGCCCCGTGAGTGAAAAAGACTGGGACTCACTCCTTGGGAGTATCCACCGCGTTGAATGCGTTCACATACGGCGGTGGCGTTGGTCTAGCCGAACCAGCAGTGGGAGGGCAAAGGAGCGCCTGTGGATAGACCGGCCAGCCCGACATGCGCGTGTTACGGGACTGCCTGCCTAGGGGTGGGCGATATTCCAATGTATTGACACCAATATCAATATTCAAAAAATATTGATGGCCAATATTAGAATTTTTGAAGCCGTCAATATCAATATTTCTGTATTGGTGTATTGGAACATTGGAATTCCAATGTTGAATAAACGGAGCGGGGTTGCAGGGCAAGCGGGCAAGCGGTGTTGCAGGCTATAGTTTGCTATCTGAACAAGTGTTCAGCACCCCTGGTAACGTCTTTACTCACACCAGGTGGCCCTTTTCAGGCAATTGACGTCTACAAATAGTGATTTTTGTTCAATTTGTCAGTGTATTGAATATTTCCAATACTCCAATATTCCAATATTTCCAATACTCCAATATTCCAATACAGAAATATTGATATTGGACAAAAGTCCAATATACCAAAATATTGTCTATTGGTTTTAAAAAAATAATATCGCCCAGCCCTATGCCTGCCTGCCTGCAGGCGGCAGGAGAGCTCCTGTGGCTAGGCCGGCCAGCCCGACATGCGTGTGCTGCGGGACTGCCTGCCCACGGGCGGCAGGAGGGCGCCTGTGGATAGGCCCGCCAGCCCGACATGCGTGTGCTGCGGGACTGCCT